ACCCATGGTACGGCAGCAAAGTTCCTTGATTATTACGCCAGAATGAGAGTATAGCTCCTAGCCATATCAGCCTAGAAAATCGCAGCTTTTCATTTTCCGTCGGTCTTAGTACACGATGTAACTACAGAAGAGTCAAGTTTTAAATAAGAAAAATATAGAAACTCTTTGGTCAGTTTTGAGCGAGATGCTAACAGTCAAATCAGATTCAATGATCTATGCTAAGCTACAGCTAAAAGTGAAAAAGAAAAAAAATGCAATTTCATTTTTTCCCCAAATCATGCAGCCCTAGTATATAATCTAGTATTTAACATGGTAATATAGTATACTATTGTATAGCACAGTATATAACAATTTGAATTTATCATTGTTTTATCATTTACAAATTGATTTATTAAAAAAAGAAGTCCTGGAGTCTGGCACAATATTCAATGTAGGGTCCAAGAGATAATATAACAGGCTTTAAATATAGTCGAAGATGAAAGTAGTTGCCTAAGTAGATGACACATAGCACATAAGCTCACTATCTCCTAAAACAGAGCTCATAATGAAATGCAGTGCGAGGATGCTGGTACCTTTGCTCCGTGTTTCTGAAGGACTTCAAGCACGTCATTATGACCTCGTTCAGACGCTACATGGAACGGAGTCATAAAACTAGAAAGAGAAAGAATATGTGAGAATGTCTTACTTGCCATTTATTTGTAATTATTTGTGAAATTTACTAGCAATTTCAGAGTGAAAATTGTTTCAAATAAATTGTACACAGTTTTTTGTTTTTTTCATATCTAAAGTTGAACACTCACTCTTTGTTCTTCTCGTGAATGTTGGCGCCTTTCCGCAGCAGCAGCTCTGTGACCTGTTTGCGTTTGGGATGAGGAGAGGCTACGGCGCAGTGCTGCGAACATCATAAAGAGATTTTAATAAACACACCATTAAAACCCTCAGGATTCAGAGGAGACCATGTAAAGTGCTCACCAGAGCAGAGTCGTGCGAGTGAGGGTGTTTGAAGCTGATGATCTCTTGAGCGGTTTTCTTGACTTTTGCCATGTCCGCCTCACGGGACGCCTGCAAAAGCGTGTGCCCTTTGAACTCATCTGGATGAAGGAAATCGCAAAAAGGTCAAACGATTACTAATAGGCAGACCTGCATCTTAAAAAATTTGCAAAAAAGGCCAAAGATTACCTAATGTCATGATGCCAAGTACAAAAATATCAATAAAAACTTTCCATCACATAGTTGTTTTTTTTACAAAATAATAATGAAGATTTTTTTTATTACATATATGAGCTTTAATGCACTTACCAAAATTGTATGCAATTATAAAAGCAGTCAAATTACAAAAGTTATGGTTTTAATGACAACAAAAGTATTCAAAATGTATAATTTACTAACAGTCTGCAAAGGCATTACAAAAAAAGACATTTTGGTTCAAAAACTTCACAAAATAAGATTTGCTGTTGCTGTTTGCATGTAGTAAACTTGCATTTTCTTCTCTCACTGGCCATAATTCTAACCTTGAAATCAGGATTAAGCATAAAATAATTTCATACATGTGAATATCATCTGAGAATTGAACAAATAGTTTTAATCTGGCTCAGAGGAAATTAGGAATTATTTCTTTGTGGCAGTTTTTCTGCTGATTAAGGGATAATACAATGCTATTTTACCTAACAAATGGTTGTTAAAAGCAAAAAATGGTATGAAATGCATCATTTTAGGGATGCACCGATACATTTTTTTCAGAACTGATCCGATCCCAAAAATTCTGAGTATCGGCCGATTAGATACCAGCAGTTTTTTTTTTTTTTTTTAAATCAATGTCATCACTGTTTTGTGTGTTAAACACAATCTACTAAATATAGACAACTTCATGATACAGAAAAATAACAAATGAAAATATATATAATCATAATCTATGACAAAAATACTATTATAAACAAGGTTAGTGGATAATTCAGCAGTAAAAGTTACTCTAGAAAAATGATGAGTGCACACAATAATTTTATAAAATCTAAACATTAATGAGCAACTTTTAGAATTCGTATCAAGGGCATGTGCTGCTTCAGTTAGGTTATTAGTGAGAAATGATTAGGTTATAAGAGAGAAACAATGCGGCAAGACGTGCAGCAAATGAGAGAGAGAGAGAGAGACCACGAAGCTAGACGTTTCTTCTTATATTAACTAACGTACTCTACGAATAGCTCAGTCAATAATAATAAAAATAACATAGCCCCAGCTAGAACAAGCGGAGTGATACAAAATTGTGAAAGGGCGTTCCTGTAGCGACACCAGTACAATATCTCACGGTTCTCAACCAATTAGATTTGAGAACCAGAACGAACTGTTATATAAAGTGAAATAACATTATTTAGTGGGGAACAAATAAAACCGAATAAGTGTAGGACTAAGTCTGGTAAAATGTTACACATAATTGCTCTTTGTATTGTTGTAAAATACATTCTTGAAAAACAAGTAAATATATTTATTTATTTATTTATATATATATATATATATATATATATATATAT